TATTGTTTTCATGTTACTGTGATGCTGTTATGTTATGAACAAATGAACAGGCGACTTTTGAAGCCTACAAATTGAGTGTAACTCTTAACCTTTTTTTTTTTTTTTTTCCTGCATCAGTTGGAGGCAGTGGGAAGTGAAGTTAGACAGATTTTACTACAAGGAACTCGTAAGCATCGTCGGACTAACAGCAATGGAAGCACCACTTCATCGCGGAGCGGTCCGCTCCGAGAGGAAAAGTTGAATAAAACAAATGCACAAAGGGCTCGGAGCCAGCTGTTGGAATCCCATCTAGCAAAGTTATTTAAGCAAAAGATAGAGATTTTTACTAGAGTCGAGTTCACTCAGGTACCATGGCAAATTCCTTTCTTGAGCAATTCCTGATTCCAAAATCAGACAGCTTTTAAACTTTTTCTTGTAATTGCAGGGATCTGTTGTAACAACTGCTGTGAAACTTTCCCTTAAAACTTTACAAGAATTCGTCCGACTCCAGACTTATAACCGAAGCGGGTTCCAGCAAATTCAGTTGGATATGCAGTTCCTGAGGACTCCTCTGAAGGAAATTGCAGATGATGAAGCAGCTATTGACTTTTTGCTTGATGAGGTAACTTGGAAAACTTTGCTAGACATTCTACACTTGAAACTCCTTTTCCTATTCTCTGTTAACTTCCCTGATTTGCACTTGATTACTATTTTCAGTCACTTTCGAGCTATAGACCACAGATACTATTTTAGGCAGAGTTTCCGTGTCAGACACGTGTGGGACACGGATAAGTCTGGACACGCTCCGGGCACACGTCTATTTAGAACTTGACGTATTGTTGTGTCTGTGTCCTTGTCCTATATCTGTATCCCTGCTTCATAGCTTTTTAGTTTTTGCAGTTTTAATTTTTACAAGAAATAACCACCCAGAAATCTGTTCTTGTGCAGGTGATAGTCGCAGCGTCCGAGCGTTGTCTCGACCCCATTCCTTTGGAGCCTCCCATCTTAGACAAACTCATACAAGCAAAACTGGCAAAGGCAAGAGATCAGAATTCAATATCTCCATGAACGTTCATACCAAAATGGAGGAAGTTGGTCTTTGTTAATAGACTGCATCATCATCGCCAACTGATATTTCCATAGACTTGAAAATGGAAAATTCTCAACTGTGCTTCGTTCTCGATTTTCGAGCCACCGATTCATTCTTGTAAGTAGGTAAATGGTTGTTTTTTATGGAAACACATTTAGAATGTGGTGTTCTCACCATGGCTGCCATGCTTGCACTGGCATTATGAGCAGCAGAAGATCACAAGTTCACTAGCATAGCATAGCATAGCAGGAATGTCAAATTTGATTAGCTCCATTGTGGGGTGCTGAGGTTTTGGTACAGTCGGCTTAAAATGATGTTCTCTGCTGTTGCATTGCATCCATCTTGTTTGAACATGGATGCACCACTTTATTAATTTGATACACAATGAATTTTCTTTTGAGAATTATGGGGAGTGGGTCTCACGTCGGCTAATTTAGGGAATGATCTTAAGAAATAATCAGAAGTTATTGGTAATGAGGCCTTTTGGATAAGCTCAAAACAAAGCCACGAGAGCTTATACTCAAAGTGGACAACATCATACTATCATGGAGAGTCGTGATTCCGAACATTTTCACTCTCCTTTCAACTTTCAACATTTGATTTTGATTTTGATTTTTTTTATTTTTATTTCTTTCCCACTGCCTTAAACATAGATAAGTTTTTCAAAATTTTAAGCTTTATATGCATTTGTGATATATTTATCACATACGAATATTACAAGATTCATAAGAAATTAAATTCACAAAAGAACGATAAGAATTCAGAGTAGCAAAAAAAAAAAAAAAAAAAAGATGCAGA